CCAAGGGAGGAGGAAGCTGAACCATGCGGGGGGGGGGGGGCGGTATGAAAGGGTGGTGGCGAATGCGTCAGAGGATCATAATTAATACATACACCTGGTGGGCAGGACTGTGGTCATATGTTTTTGCTTATAATGTTTTCCTTGTGCTTTGCCTTTAGGATATTGAGTCACTGATGTCTGAGGGAAATAAGTCTCGGACGGTAGCTGCTACCAACATGAATGAAGAAAGTAGCCGCTCGCACGCCGTGTTCAACATCATAGTCACACAGACACTTTATGACTTGCAGTCTGGGGTGAGGGACTGGGCAGACCCTTTGCTGGCAGTAAAAGATCTTAAAATATCTGCATGGGTGATGTGTTTCATGGTTGGATTTAGCAGCTGAAAAATTTGTGCTGGTTCTTCTGCGTACCTTGCTTAAATCATTTAATTTCTTAGGTCTTTCTTAATACAGGGTGTCCCCCCAAAATGTATACACACTTTAACAACCGATAGCTCAGTTTTGAAAATGAAATGTATTTTAATAAACAAATTTATATGTATTTAAATGTGTGTATACATTTTTGAGGACAACCTATATATAACTTTTTTTAATTGAATTTCTTGTGTGAACTCTCTGAAGAGCATCATGATGTCACCAGACAGCTTTTAATATGTATTCTTTCATACTGAAACTCACCTAAAAGCAACTGAGTCTACCTCACTGTCATTAAGGGATATTAAAGAGGAAACCTCAACATTTAGCCTAAAGAGCACTTTCTCAAAAGAAGAGCTGTTTGACCTGAATGCGCAGGAATCCTCGAGCCCTAGTATTTCCTCATAGGCAAGTAAAATCTCCAGCTTCCTGGGTGCATTCTGGATTGCTTCCCAGCTGCCGTACAAAATGCTACAGTACCGCACCAACTTAAATTTTGACTATAAGTTGCTAGTCCAGATAACTGACCGTTTCAGATCTTGAGACGTTAGCCTCGCTGTAGTGGATGGCTGCTCGGTTGCTCTCAGTTACAGTGCTGACATATATGTAGAAATCATTCGGTTTCTGTGTTCACATGCGTTGTTTCTCTCTGTTCCCTGCACCCAGAACTCTGGAGAGAAAGTCAGTAAGGTCAGCTTGGTGGACCTGGCTGGAAGCGAAAGAGTGTCCAAAACAGGAGCCGCCGGAGAGCGACTGAAAGAAGGCAGCAACATTAACAAGTAAGGCGCCTGTGCTGCCCTGGGGCATCGCATCCAGTGGCCTGTGTGTTGGGGGTCAGACAGCTCTGGTCACAGGTGGTTCGGAGTCTATCCGCTTTGGTAAACTGCGTCGAGGAAAAACAACAGCCTCCTCGATTGAGGTGCATGAAGTTATTCAAGCTACGAGCAAGTTATTCAACCTGCTCAAACATTCTACAGATATTTAGTGTATCATTGTTTGTAATGTAGACTTAGGTAAGTGCAAATCACAATTCCATAAGTAAAATCATGTAGTAAATTAACTCAGGGAGCTTATGCTGAAAAGAAAGTCTGCTTTGAATCTCTTCGTAAGGCTAATACTGTTTAAACATCAGTACTTCAAAAAAAACAACACTTACCAGTTATTGACTAACTGTCAAACGGAAATCTCACTGTGTGCCCTGAGGACCTACAGGGTGCCCAGTGAGCAGGGAAGGCTGGAAGCAGAGGGGGGCAGATGTGTAGGAGTTTGCCAGGGAGACAAAGGAGATGAAGGCATCCTCACGGAGCACGCAGCACAGGCACAGACAGTGAGGACTTGTCTTCCAGGAGTGCAGTGTCCCAGGTGGCTCCTGCTGTGCAACAGGAAGTCTCCCTGCTTTCCAGAAGGAGAGGGAGTGGAGTTTGCCTTTAAGAGGGTGCACTCAGGCCAGACTGCCTGAGGTTAATCCTGCCTTCACCACTTACTACATCTATAAGTATCATAAGGAAGTGATTTCACCTCTCAGTGCTTCATTTTTCTCATCTGTAACATGGGGATAATAACCGCACCTACTTCATGGAATTGTTTGGGATTAAATGCCCACAATATGCTTAGAACAATGCCTGGCACATAGTATGCACTGAATAAAATTAATTGTTGTGGCTATTGTTTTTATAATTCATATAAACAGTATAATCATTATCTTTATGCCAAGTTCAGCAGAAAGCAGTTTAGTTTGTACTTGTAATATATGTGTCTTGCAACATATAACTTGGGGTTTGTTTGGGACAGAAGGTGACAAGAGTTAATATATTCGGGAACATGTCTGTGCAGCTGGCATTTTAAAATGTTGTTAGCAGATTAGAATTTTAGTTTACACCAGTTTAAAATTAGAAGTAAAATACCACCCCCTCTTTCCAGTGGACATCGGCATACTCACTGCAAAGACTGCTGCTTTAGGAGTTAATCTCCCGTTCTAATAACAAAGGATTTTGCTGTGTTTTGTGACAAAGCATGTTAGGAGCCAGGCTGGCACTACTGCTCTGCATTCCAAAATGAGCTCAGGAACCACGATGGGAAAGCAGAAACAGGAGTGTGAGGGAGCAGGTACCAAGGAAAAGACTGTCAGCCGTCCTAGAGACCTGTCTACTGGTGTTGAGCCATACCAGCCCTTTGCCTGCTGGCTGGGATTGTGGGGAAACGCTGAAGATTCTATGCTGTGAATTGTGGGAATTTAGAATATGGCCTTGAAGTATAATGATCACTAACTCTTATTGACCTCTTGCAACGTGCCAGGCATTATCCTGAATGTTCTGTGTTGCAAGTCATCTGGTCCTCACTTCAGCATTGTGAAAGGGGTCTGTTACTCCATTTGCAGACGAGGAAACCAAGGCAGAGAGCAGTTACATAATGTGTCCAGAGTCACAAAGCTCTAAGTGTGGATCTTGGATTTGGGGACAGGCAATCTGGCCGCAGAGCCCAGGCTCACCGCTGTGCTGTAGTTGGGGTGACCATGTGTTCTGTTTGCCTGAAAGAAGTTCTGATTAATACTTTTGTTCCGGAGTAGATATTACCATTGCCTCCTTCGATTTGGACACTGAATTATGTAGTATCCCAAACTGGATTACCTCAAGGCCATAACATGATTGTGATCCTCCAGCACCTGACTCTTTTCCATAATGACTTATTGAATTGAATGGGATTTTCTTAGCATCCTGCTGCTGTTCCTTATTATATACTAGAGGCCCAGTGCACAAAATTCGTGCACAGGTAAGGTCCTTAGGCCTGGCCTGCAATCAGGTTCCCCGCCTCCCCACCTCCTTCCCTCACTCCCTTAACGCCCTGCCGCCACCACAGCTGGTCTCCCGCCATGTGCCTCGCCACCCCCTGGTGGTCAGCGCACATCATAGCGAGTGATCAAACTCCTGGTCGAACTCCCGAGTGGACACTTTGCATATTAGCCTTTTATATATATAGACTAGCACTTTCACAAATGGATGTGTGTATCCCCTGCTGCTAGTCTGTGGGATATAATCATCATATTTAGGTTTCTTTATAGTTTTCAGGCCAGTCTCACATGCATTATTTCATGTAAGGTTCATTCTAGGTATTTTTTTAAATCTCTGTTTAAAAATGAGGAAACTGATGGTAGGAGACATTTAAATAATATGAATGAGACATTTTAAGCCTCTGCTATGTGTCTGGCACTGCAGTAGATGCTGGGGATGCAAAAGGAATTTAGATATTGTTGTAA